TAGAATTACTGGAAACCATGTATAAATTATGGGTTTGTTTGAGACATCATTAGTCAGGGAGGCTACTTTTCTGGGAAATGCTGGCTGAAATCCCCCAGTTCCTGAAAGCTGGGATCATGCTGGCACAGTGCCTTAGCTCATAGTCCTAAGTTCAATTGCAGTTACTCAGAGATGGGCATAACCTGCCAAGCCCCAAACAACTTGTTTTTCCCATTCTTATTCTGTTTTCCTCAAGAGCCCTGGCACACTGAAAACTTTTGATATATGTCCCCTTAAATAAAGGATTTGGGATTTTTCCCTTGTTCAGTTCCAGTTCCTATCAGGGCTGGAAGACCCACCAGGCACCTCTCTTTTAAAACTATTTTCTCTCTGTTGTCTTCTGTTCCTTATTGATTATTTTCAGACTTTTTATTTTCCAAGCCAGTTCACATCTCCAAGCAGAAATCTGCTCTACCAGGGTGCCGATAACCCCAGCAGATAATAATTAAAGAATAAGTATTAATATTAAGTAGATGAGACATGTAATGAATTTTATATTTAGACTGAATTATTGTTCATTTCCTTATATTTTCACTTTTGTTTCCTCTCCTTTTTCTGTTAACCTTGAGCCCAAGGCAGCGCCTTGGACATCCTAGGCACTGATAAGATCTTTAAGTTGTTATCCAAAATACTGAAAGGCACTGGTTCTGGTCAGAGCTCAAATTCTTTATTCCTTCGTATAAACTCCATACTCCACTCCCTTGGTGTAGTATAGCCAGGCAGAAGATCACTTTTCTCTTGCCATCCATTACAAGTACAGGCTGCAGTGCTCTTTAAGTTCCCCTAATAAGTGCCCTGGCTTTTCACCCTGGAGTTCAGTGCTTTCTCCTTTAGAATCCCTAGCAATCCCACATCAGTATGGTTTGAGGCAGTCCCTTGTGAATATTCTCCCCCTGCCAGTTCTAGGGTATTTCCAGCTTTGGGTTGTATGGGTAGAAATACTTTATTAAAGGTCAATTTTTGAGAAATGCTCACAACTGTAAAGAATGTGAGCTCTGTTTATTCAGATCCAAGTCTTCACTGATGAAGGAGAAAGTTCAATCTAAACAGTATTTACCTTGAACTATAGTACATTTTAATCTCTGAAAATAGGCCAAGAGAAATAGTCGTAGAGAAAACAAAAAATTTCTGAAAAATGCCAGAGAAATCACTTCAGGAAATTTATGACTTGCCATTTAAATAAACATCTTAAACTTTTGAACTAAAAATTATGAAAATCAAAAGAGAAAATAAATAGCTTGCTTGATTCAGAACAATGGTTCCTATTCATAATATCCATTGCCCTCAAGCAAGGTAACACAGTATCTTTGTAATATTATCTGAAGACTTTCATGCTTGAGATGTGGGAAGATTCTTTATGAATAAAAATAAAAGCTTCAAAAGAGCTAAGTTTTTTCTTGGTGAAAATGGGGAGAGATTGAAAAACTGGGGGAAGATACAGAAATGGGGAAAGAGGAATCTCTAAGGCTGAGTTCTAGAGGGTGGAGGGGAAATTAAGGAAACAGTTGTTGCTTTGTAGTGAAGAAACACAGAATGCCTCATGGAAGATATTTTTAGAGAAATGATGCATTCTATGCACTGTGAGCTTCCCCTTCAAACTTCTCCAGATACCGTTGTGTAGCATGTGTATAAGCACATGTGCTACTAATGCTCTGGAATGAATCTATTTGTTATGGGAAATCAGAATGGTGTTGAGTCCTGCTTCAAAGATGTCACAGGGTGAAGGTAAGAACTACTTATAGGAATAGCTAAGAACCAATTTCAGTCAGTATTTTGTCATAGGACCAAGAAGATACAACTATATGCCCTGTGTGAAAAGCAGGTTACTCCCTGCTTGAGAAAGAAAACAAACAAGAAAAATCTCCTAGTAAAGTGATACTTTGTTTTTCCCTTTGAATAGCAGATTTTCTGAAGTTTTTTGAAAGTAAATTTTTGACAGTTTTTTTTAAAGTAAAAGTCATTTAACTTCCTGCTAATAGAACCCTAGAAGACCTAGGAAATTAACCTTTATTATACCTCTGTTTAATACATCTATGGAGTAAAAAGCCTGAGAATTTCCTGTCAAAAGAAAGGAATGAAGAAGATAGTTCTAGAGAAAGCAATAATAAAGGGAGACAGAATTTTTGTCAGAGGAATATGGGGTAAGGTTATTTGGAAAAGGAGTTTGGATTAGCTTTCTATTACTGTAACAAAATACCTGAGACAATCACCTTAAGAGGGGAAAAGTTTATTTTGATCCATGGTTTCCATGGTTGGTTGGCTTCTTTGCTTTAGGGCTTCTGTTGAGGCAAAACATTGGGGGCTGGGTGCTTGTGGTTGAGCAAACCTGCTCACCTCATGGTAGCTAAGAAGTAAAAGAGAGACAGCATGAGATTCTAATCACACAACCTCCTTCAGAGGTGTTCCTCCAATGATATAACTTTCTTCCATTGGGCCTACATATTAATGTTTCTACCACTTCACTTCCCCATTATGCCACAGGAAGAGGACTAAGCTTTTAGCACTTGGGTCTTTTAGAAATATTTAAGATTCAAATCATAGCTGAATTTATTTGGAAACTACTTGACTTCCTTCTGACTGAAAAACTACTTCCAGACTCTTCTCGCAGCTTTTTAAATTTTTCATTATTAAAAAAAAAAAAAAGAGGGGGGGCTGGGGTTGTGGCTCAGAGGAAAGAGCACTCGCCTAGCCTAGCATTTGTGGTGCTGACTATGGAACCTAGCACTGGGTTCGATCCTCAGCAGCACATAAAAATAAAATAAAGGTATTGTGTCCATCTACAACTAAAAAAACCCCCAAATGTTTAAAAAAAAAAAAAAACTACTCAAAGCCAGACTATGAGTGATAAGACTTCTCAGAAATTCACTTCTCTATACTTAGAAAACCCTCATCCACTTCCTCTACACCCTGAACTTCCTCTCAAATTATTCTGTAGTCAATATTCAGTTGGCTGGAGGAACCTGTCTGTTCCAGTTCCCAGAAAACAAAAGAGTGGCAAGCATATAAACAGCTTACAGAATGACTCAAAATACCATTCTGTTTTAGGAAAAACATGGTCCTGGGGAGTAAGAACCAGTTGACACAGGCAGAGGGTGCTTTATGACTTAAGAAAGAGGCAGACAGATCTGGAACTGCTGAAAGTCTAATTTATTGGGGATTTACAGATGGAGGCATGTCTGGGCATGGGATAAGTCAGGCAGATTTCTGCTCCTCCAGCCCAGTGGGAGGAGTTTATAAGCTGAGCCAAACATAGGTGAGCTGGCCAACCAGGATGTATCTGGCCTTTTTCAAAAGTTATTAACGGATTCAAAAGTCAGTTAAGAAACATTTCCAGCATTAGTGCCTAGAACACCATGCTTCCTGGACTCTTAATGATTTTGTTTGCTTTGTATGGCTTGGGATATGTGCCTGGGACAATTGGAGGGACAAATGCTGATTATAACCACTACGGCTGGAGTCATATCAAGCTGCCTCCCTATACCTTTTTAAAATGTGTTCTTTTTTTTTTTTTATGTCACAGAAAGGAATAGCATTAGAATATATTTGCAAAGAAAATTCCTCTTTTAATTAGTAAATGAAGATTATGGGCATTTTTTTTCCATGTATTCAAGTCTTTACCAATTCATTTAGATGCTAGGTAGTCATTGCATCTGCAAGTTTTTCTTTACAGATTGTTCTGCTCTTAGGTTTTATTTCATCTCTTCGAAAATCATTATCAGACTTCTCATAAGGCTTTATCTCTGATGGACAAAATTGAGCTCTAGAGACCTCTAGTGGAAAAAGGCAAATAAGACAATGAGAAGAAAGCATGGTGTGCCTTGAGTGAAACTCTGAAGAATGTTGGGTTTCTACAGCCCTCTGCACCTTCTTTCGGGGTTCTCTCCACCTCCTGGTTCATACTTGAAAATCTTGAGGCTCCTGACCTGTTGTTGTCCTCTGCCAGGCTTATCTTTTTTACAATGTCACACATCTCATATTTTTCTTTATCATAAGTTATTCCACCCAACCTCACTAGTCTTGTGTCCTTTTATCTAAAAGCTGATGGGAATAAAACAATCAAGGTTTTCAGGCTAATTTAAATCCTAACTAAATCAACCTAAATAAGTGTTTAGAAAAGTTAAGGATTCCTCTGGGTTAAATATACAAGCTTTAGTCATAACTGCACTTCCATGATTGCAAGTAGTATCAGCCATTTCTATGCTCCTTTTACAGCAAACATCTTCAAAAGAGTTGTCTATCATATTCTGCTTTTCATTCACTCTTCTTTCATTGTGTGTGTGTGTGTGTTTTGGTGGGGAGGATAACCACTTTACCATTGAGCTATATTCCTGGTCCTTTATAAGACAGGATCTTGCTAAATTGCTGAGGCTGGCATCCAACTCCTGCCTCAGTCTCCAAAGTTGCTGAGATTACTAGTGTTCACCATGGCACCAGCTTCCTTCCATTCTTTGTTGAACCCACCTGGGTAATTGTGTTTTTTTCTTTCTACCACTTCCTCAAAATTACTCCTGTCAAAGTCACCAATGTTCTCCATTTAGTCAAAATAAGAATCAGAGTGCCTCCTATCTCAACCTCTCTCTGGTCTCTGCCTCCCTCACTGACATGCAGCCAGCCTCACCCCCACTTCCCCATGAATGTTGGGAGGAGGTAGCAAGAGGTCTGTACTCCAGGAAGGAAAATGGGTCAGAGTTGGGGAAAAAATTCACAGCTCAACACTCGGGAAACCCCACTTGCAGGTGAGGAGGAGGCACTGGGCTGAGATGATACCATTTTCTCTATTCTAGTCCTGGCCTAACGGTCCAACTGCCAGTGCACTGAGATGGTAAGGATGGGGGAGGACAAAACACGTGCGAGGGCACACAGCTCACTGTGCTTGTGCTGCAGGGAGATAAAGCACTGGAGAAAAAAAACAACTACAACTGTGCACCACTTCCTCCAGCTTAAACTGAATGTTTCTTCAGTTGACTGTTTTTCAGAAACCTCTACTTTCATCATGGAACAGAAAGAAGCACGATAAGGATGTTACTCATGGGAAGAGGGGTTCATATCTACTACCATCTGAGGTAACCTTCTGCTGCCCTTAATATTTTTGTGTGTACAATACCCTAAAATCCATCAAGCTGCAAGGTTAATCTGCAGTCAGCTGTAAAGATAATACTGTTACTTCTAAACCAAATTGTCCTGTTGAAGTGGAGAAGATAATTTTCAAGATGAAAAAAATGGATCAGGTAAAAATCTAGCCCTATAATAGTAGAAAACTATTTTTAAGAAAACACAGAGGGGCTGGGAATGTGGCTCAGGTGGTGGCGCGCTCACCTGGCATGCGTGCAGCCTGGGTTCGATCCTCGGCACCACATACAAACAAAGATGTTGTGCCTGCCGAGAACTAAAAGATAAATATTAAGAAGGTTCTCTCTCTCTCTCTCTCTCTCTCTCTCTCTCTCTCTCTCTCTCTCTCTCTCCTCTCTCTTAAAAACAAAACAAAACAAAACACAGAGTTCTGTCTCTTGGGTGGATTGAGGTGGAGCTGCCTTCATCCAGGAGAAGGGACACCTTCTGTAATTCAACATAGGATGGTACCTTATTTTATAGCAGTACCCTCCCAACATGCACACAGACATCCAGGGGTGCTTTGTCTCATTTGTACAAAGGACAAAGCTAGAAGAGATTTTGTCCCCAACTTTCAGAGTTCACAGAAAGCAAGGATCCAACTCTCTACAGTCATATCTGGCAAGACACCTGCAAGTCATAGGCCCCTGAGGTTTACTTGAAGTGGGTGCCTAAACAATGGCACCATAAACTGTGAAAGGGTCATGGGGGTGGTTGATTATATAAGCTCCACTTAAGACTGGCAGGCCTCCTCTGACTTTGCTCAGAAAGGAAGTGACTTTGCCAAGAGCATCCAGCACAGAGGCCTGGGAATTATGGTGGAGGGCACAGGCTGCCTGGGGGGAATCCTCAGCTCTCTGAATATTACCTTTTTGACCCTGGGATGCTACTCAACCACTTGAATTACATTTTTGTCTTCTATAAAATGAGCCAAATAAATAACTGTAGCTATCATCTACAGACAGTTATGTTTAGCTCTCAGGCTTGTCCAAAGGCTGAAATCACCCAGGAGTCAGAGTTTGTGCTTCAGTGAAGGACTACCTCAGAGTCCCATGGGAGAGGAGGTCACCAGTCACCTTAGACTACTTATACCTCAAAGGCCAGACAACTGGATTGATAAAAATCCAGTTGCTTCTTATATAAAGAATCATCCATTTTAAAGATGACTACAAATATAAGCAAAAACCCTCAAGAGAAATTACAAGAGCACACATACGGAGAACTGGAATTACTCACCTTACAACAAAAATCTCACCTTGGGAATGGAGGGAGCATCAGCAGCACAGTGAAATGGACAGTTACACTATTAGACCATGCAGTGGCTGATCTTCTGAAATATACTCCATATGGATTAGCGACACTGATACAACCCCATTTGTGCCAAATTTGTGGACACAATCAATAATTTAGAAATTAAAACTTAGATTGAAGATTTGAAACTTCCTCCTCCTGACCGAAAAATAAATAAATAAATAAGAACCATCTGCATTCACCAAGAGAGTCAACACTGCTCCTAATACTGTGAAATAGTGTGTAGGGGTTGACAGTTATCATGCTGCTTCCCCCAAAGCAAACTTTTTATTTTTTCATATAAAAAACTTTGTTCCACAACCTCATTAAAAACAACAATGATGACATCTGTCAAAAACTCGAAGACATCTCTACTCCTCTGATAACTGAAAACTGCCTCTTCTCACTAGTCAGTCAGTTGTGCTAAATCTGGACACTGAAAGTTTTCAGTTCCTCCTTAGTGTATCTGAGTTGTACCTCTTCTTTTATTGTAGTGAAAAGGTCACAGTCTTTCAGTTAAACATATACGACTCCTTGTGAGTCACCTAGTGACTGCCAAGCCTCCTGTCAGTACAGAGGAAGGGCTGCTTAGTTCTGTCAATAAACTAATAGACATCCCAAAATTCAAGAAAATAGCTCCTCTTATAATGAACAGTAATACCAATCACTGCAGCCAGCTGCTTGACCATCATTTATCCAAACATATTTACATTCCCAGGATAGATGTGATAGTTTTCTGCCTGAAGTCCATTCTGGAGAGATTGCTGCCAAATTGAATGAACTTACTTGTACTTGAAATATACAGTATCTATGAATGGATGATCAAGATTAATATCCCCTGATGCATGGCGTAGCTATTAAATGTTGGATTTCCATCTTTCTAACCAGCCACCACACACACACACACACACACACACACACACACTTAGTATTAAAATATAAGAATTTGTGCTATGACTTTTAATACCTAAAGAATATATTTATAATTTATAGTTATCTTACTTAAAAACTTCATGATAGGGTATAATTGATTTTCTTTTCCTTCAATAAGAAATAATCACCTTTTGTTGATTTCATTTGTTGCTTTATTGATCACCTACATGTTCTACAATGGTGACTTCAACAAAAGGATAAAGAAAGATTATATTTGTAAGGTACATTAATAGCTAAGTAAGCATACATCTGATATTTGCTATCGTATTCCTATTCTTTACATACAAATGTTTATAAGTTATGTTAAAGATTATTTTATGGTGAAATAAGGATTTGCAAAACCACACATGTAAAATAATGGATTTAGTTTAACTCTGTTTTCAATGATGAATTATTTAGTGTGGAAGTTCGATTTTATATTTTATTTATTACCAAATTAGTATATAATTAATGGAAATCTCAAAGTTCTTAAAATATTATTAATATGTGATATTTGATTTTTATAACTTAAGAATGTGAATTCCATAAGGAGAATTTCAAACAAATATTTTCTGTATTAGAGGTTCTAAAGAAGTTTTAAATAAATATTTGTGAACATTACTATATTATGATAATTATATCACAGTTGATATGAAGAAAAGAATAAGGGTCAATTTTTATTCATATAAAAAAATGGAAAACTATTTGGAGTTTCAGAAATTCTGGTGCTTATTGTAGTAAAATGATAAAGTAAAATCATTGTGTACATATGCAATGAACACCAGATGTGAGTCCTGGCAAATAGCACAAATCTAGATATTTTAAAAGATAAAGAGAATAAATGTTTTGAAAAATAATTTTTAAAATATTAGCATCTGGTCTTACATAATAATTTCATTTTATCATTTCATTAGAATTTTTGAAACATACTTACAGACATTCATTAAAGGCAGGACTATTAAGAAAAGCAATCCTGGGCAGGGGTTGTGGCTCAGTGATGGAATGCTTGCATAACACATCTGAGGCACTGAGTTTGACCCACAGCACAACATGAAAATAAATAAATAAAGGTATTATGTCCATCTATAACTAAAAATATTTTTTTAAAAAAATAAGAAAAACCAAAACAAAACAAAAGTAAAGAAAAACAATCCTAATTTGTTGGTTTATAATCACTCTGGCATCTTGTTCATGCCTTGCAGATTGAATTGGTTACTTAATCTCAAAGTTTTTATCAAACAAGCAGGCTGGGGAGTTAAGTTGGATTTCATTAAACCTACTGAGAACTGAACTACTTAATTTTACTAAGCCACTATGGAAAAAGTTTCTTTCTGATATAATAAAAGCAAGATATTAAAAAAAGAAAAAAGAAAGAAAAATGATCACTTATTCAAGCATCAGCAGCATTTGACACTCTTGATTAGTCCCTCTTTGAAATTCTTTCTTTCTTTCTTTTTTCTTCTTTGGGTTCCAGGGGTTGAACTCAGGGGCACTCAACCACTGAGCCACATCCCCAGCCCTATTTTGTATTTTATTTAGAGACAGAGTCTCACTGAGTTGTTAAGCACCTCCCTTTTGCTGAGGCTGGCTTTGAACTCAATGATCCTTCTGCCTCAGTCTCATGAACTCCTGGGATTACAGGTGTGCACCACTGCACCTGGTGAGATTCTTTCTTTACAAGCCAATATATTTCTTTCTGGATTCTTCTTTCATTGTTTGCTTCTCAGGTTCCTCTGCTGATACCTTTTCTACTTTCTGGTCTCTAAAATATGTAGCACCTCAGCCCTTGAGATTGGCTTACCTGGTTCTTCTATGAGTTGATGACAGTCACATTTGTATTTGCCAGTCCTAGCACTAACAGCTAGATCTGATGTTGGTAGGAGTAGATATGGCATTGACAGTTACATTTTGAGTGTTTCCTGTTGAACACAAAGACTGTCAGAGAACACTATGTCAGGTCATTTTGTGACTGTGATAAAATGATACCAATAGCCCCTCCTAACAGAACAAGATAACAAAATAAAAGCTAAGACTGTTTCATAACGATCTCAAAACACAACAAAATCAAATCACAAAACTCAAAAATACTGATTTCTGTCCCTCATGCATGCCCCCTATACCCTATTAATATGACTGATGCTGTTCCTTTCAGATAACAGCAACAGCTTCAACCTTACTTTATTTTTACCTCTTTTGAGATAAGCTTCCTTAAGGAAGCTTCCTTAATTCCTGTCATTGAATTACCCTTGCTTCCAGACAGGACTCAGTATAACACACTTTCTTGAATCCTCTCCCAAATCACCTCTATAAGCCCAAATGCGGTAGTCTTTTTTTTTAATTTAATTTAATTTATTTTAAAGAAAAAGAGAGAGAGAGAGAATTTTTAATATGTATTTTTTAGTTTTCGGTGGACACAACATCTTTATTTTATTTTTATGTGGTGCTGAGGATCGAACCCAGCGCCTTGCATATGCCAGGCGAGTGCGCTGCCACTTAAGCCACATCCCCAGGTCAGTCTTTATAAAAAGACTTCTCTTTATGAGAAGCCCACGTGATTCCCCAAGGAATAGAATCTTTATTATTACAAGGAGAAATAAAGCATATTTATTTAATTGTTGATGAGTTTCAGCTCATCTTTGGGCACAGGTCATCTTTTGGCAGGTGCAGAGTTACATCCATCATAGGATAATCTGTCTCTAATTTCATTACTTGCCATTAAGAAATAAAAAAATTAATTCATATTTTACTATAGCTATAATCTTATAATATTCTATTATTCTAATTTTTCGTAGTTTACTGAAATTTTTAGTCCACTTATTCCTTGCTGAATTATCTTTGAAATGGTTGCTGTTTATTCTTGTTATCTCAATAATTATGAATACTTACTGTTCACTTTGTTTGCAAATTTGGAGTTAGCTAAAATAAGAACTTTTCAGATTACATTTCTTCTGTTTTGTCTCCTAACATTATTTCTCTTTTGCCCAGAGAAGTGTGTTTATAAAATGCGTATCTTTCTGTCTTCTCATCCTTGAGTGGAGATAGAGCCTGACATGGAATAGGATATCATTAAAGGGATAACCCTTCATTTCTAGGCATGTTCATTAAAGAACTGGCAACTTTCAGAACACAGATCTCTAGTATAAAACTAGAGGGTAGATTGGTGATACTACAATTTCTAGTTCCTGTCAGTTTTGCCAAATACTGCTGTCTTCACCCAATGTGTAAACTCTGGAGGCCAGTGGAAGAGGATCGCAAAGCTCACTCAATTTAGAGTATAGGAAGGCATGTGGGGCAACAGGTCCAATCCTTGTATTACTGCTCTTGCAGGACTCTAAGAAGGTGGATCTTCAAACCAAAAGTGATGCAATAGGGTTTTTTGCTGAGCTTGTAATACCAGCCCTCTAGATGGAGGTGCGGGCTATCTTCTAACCTTAGTTATAATTATACAGCTTCTTTTTCCTGTTTATAGAGTTGTGTGCAACCAGTGTGCACAAGTGAAAGGAATCCTTACCTCAAGCAGAGGATCCTTCTGTCTGCCTGTACTGTTCCTGGTGCAGTTTCTTAAATTAATATGGCTGTAACTTCTGTGCCTATTTTAGAGACTGTCATTAGAAAAGGTCAAAGTTACTTTTTAATTCCCTACAGGTAGTAGAATTCCTACTGACCACTAGAAAATGTTTTAACTCTATCCCATCAATTAATATAGCTGTAGGAATTTCTTCTACATTTTGACACATATACATTTTATAATTTACAATACCATTATGGACTTTATCCAAGTAATATGTATAGAGGAATATTTTAATGATAGTTTTGAAGGCTAAGCAAACCTTTGGAAGTTTTTTTTCATTTTAAATGTATGCTTTCATTTGCCTTTAAATTTATTTACTCGATCTCAGTTATGAAGATCCATATATGACCACACTTGTGAAAAGAGGAATATTTTCAGGTTCTCCTTAAATACTGACATTCCATTTAGTCTTACTTCACTTGGATATTAATGTCTGTACCTCTCACCAACATATGCATTGAAGAGGGCTAGTGTTCACCATTGCCTACAAGGGGGGAAAAAACTACTTCAAGTAAGAAGAATTAAATAAGTCTTTAATCTTCTTAAATCCCAAGAAAGGGGAAATAGTTATGTTATAGGTACTCGCAAATATAAGTTGATGTCACTTGGGGGAAGCATAATACATTAGATAAAACCTGACTTTGACACATTAAGGATTTGAATACAAATTTACATAATGTTATTAACTCTGTAATTGAAACAAATCAGGTAAATTTTTCAAATCAGTATCAAGTGGAAATAGCACTATCTTGACTATATTTCATGAGAACTTTAAGAATCACTTAAAAACTGTTATAATATCTTCTACTTCAACATGTTCTCATTCCAAAAGTTCTTATTCTCCACATTTACATTTACAAAATCATGGAAGATGACATGCCGTTAAAATCATGGTATTTGAAGGTAAATGGATGGAGTTGGAGAATATTATTCTAAGTGAAGTAAGCCAATCCCCCCAAAAACAAATGTTTAATGTTTTCTCTGATATTTGGATGCTGATCCATAATGGGGATGGGGAGGAGCATGGAAGGAAGGGAGGAACTTTAAATAGGGCAAAGGGTAGGGATGGGAAGGGAGGGGGCTAGGGGGTAGGAAAGATAGTGAGATGGACATCATTATGCTAAGTACATGTATGAAGACACGAATGGTATGACTCTACTTTGTGTACAACCAGAGATACGAAAAATTAAAGAATGAAACATATTTCATAGATGGATGAATTAAGTAAAAAAAAATCAAGGTACAGTTGTGCTAAAAAATTTTGTGGAAAAATAATAACCCCTATAAAAATCTCACCATTTTTTCCTTCTAAGAATTGCTGCATTTAAAAATTGTATCTTAAATTTTAAGCATAAAATAAACTTGTTTTTAATTTTTTTTGTAGTTTTTTATGATGAAAACTAACTCCTCTTCCCCACATGTACATTAAATAATGTAATTATTATTAACTCCTACTTTTACGTTGGTTTATATATAAAACCTCTTTCCAGTTCCAATTACACAATGAAGAGCTCCTCTACATATTAAGGTAATTTATTAAGAAAAAATAAAATCAGACTTAAGAACTGCTAAAATAGTTCAACATAACTTAATACATTTTCCTTAACTCTCTGCTTCCTCTTTTATTTAGCACTCTTCTGAATTTTATTCTAATTTTCGTAGTTTTTTATCTGCTTTTTTTTATAACTTGGCCACTTAACTCTTTTATTTTATGTTTTCCATATTTTTATTGGTGCATTATAGTTTTACATATTGACAGGATTATTGTGACATATTCAAATATTCACAAAATTTAACAATATAATTTGGTCAACATCACTGTTCAGCATTTACCTCCTTCCTGCCCACCTTTGACCACTTGGTCTTTTTCTTCTACTGTCCCTTTACCTACCACTTAGCTCTTAAGTGATTTATTTTTAACTTTATTCATTAAATATTATGGTTGCATTTATTATATATCTGTCTATTGATCTGTCTGTCATTTATCTGTCTATGCAGTAGCTTTCTTCTTTCACATGATTATTTTGTTTATGAGATCCAACTATACCATAGGTAGCTGGATATATCATTAGTTTCAATTACTCCAATAGTTTTCTAGCCTTCTTCTTTTTATAGACAAATCAGGTGTTTCCTATTGTTCAGGTCTTTAAAAGAGACAACTACAATAATGTTCTTATGTGTGTATCCTGGTAAATATAATCACTAGTCATACTCTAGCATTTCTAAGAAGAAGATCTTAGAATTGCATATTTCTTGAGAATTCTTCTCAACTTACCTACTTTACTAGGTAATATTAAACTGTCCTTGAAACTGATTGTCTAGTCCCACTATGATGGCCCATTGTTCCTATTGCTTCAACAATTCCATTGACATTTGGTAGTATCAGGATGTGTTAAACTGTGCCAAAAGTATTTAATGCTATTATAGGTTGGTAAAATTTTTCGTATTTTTCTAATTATAAATGAAGACAATCACCTTGTAAAATGTGCAGTAGTCATTTGGACTCTCTTTCTGTGAAGGACTTTTCAAGTTTTTATTCATTTTGCTTGTGAGTTGACTACTTCCTATAGTTTGTTGGGGGTTTTATTTAATATACTTGATGCTAGTATATTGTATATTGTTAAGTGTTGCAAATATATTTTCTAATTTGTTGATTTTAATAGTTTTATGATTTTTAATAAAAGAGTCTTAATATAAAAAAGGCAATTTTACAATTTTATTTTTAGTGTCTTGTGTAGGAAATCTTTTTACCTAAAGTTATGGAAATATTCTCTTAATTTTCTAAGGATTTATTATTTTGCCTTATAATTTTATATCTAATCCACACATAATATCCAGAACATTCTTTTTAAAATAGACATTCCACATAATATCCCAAATCTACTGGTTTAGAAACTTTAGGATTGAGGACCAATAATCTAAATTTTATAAAAAAAAACAAAACAAAACAAAAAACTGATGACAAATTCAGAACAATGCTTATGTTTATAGTAGATTGCAGTTTTAAAATTATAAATTTGTGCTCATTTCATCACCTCCTTGCAAATTCAAATTCTATGGTTAAAACACCGTAGCTATTTCAACATTTTATTCAATATATATTGCCATATGCTACCTTCTAAATAATGTGGGGTCAACAACTCAAAATTATATGTTAAGAGATTTTCATCATAATTGAGAGGCACCATTTAAAAAAATGTTTAGTCCTATAAACTCATAGTTTATTCTCAATTGTATTGAGTTTTCATTAGCACAGTAAAACAAAGGACAGTTTTACAACATGTGATCAGGTGCAGCAACCAAATCCTATAAAGCTGTGGCTCAGCCCTGCTTTTCTCTGATGAGAAAATTGTTAACAAGAGATGTTAATTTTGGCTTTCACAGAAATTGGCCTCAGTTCTCTGAGTACTGCTTCCTTCCTTCCAGCGCCGCGGTTATAGCAAGTGGTTAATTTGAAAGACTTAGCTATTATTCTAAATCACTCTAATGGCAAAGAATCATACCATTCAGCCCTGCTAGCCGGTCCCTGAGTCCAATACCATCTACTTATTTGTTTTCTAATGATTAACTTTCCTCTCTAGTTTTTAAGCATCATGGGGTCCTCCTATGTCTGATTCGTTCCCAGTTACTTAAATCTCTATAGCGTACCCATTTATAATTAACATTTACTATCAACCCTACATTGGGATCATATTTTTCTGTCCAGGACCAAGGGGGCAAGGTGGGAGTTGGCTCTGGTCCGGGACTAGGAGGGGGACACCAAAACCTACCTCCAATCATGTAGACCGGCCAATAGGGCCCCATGACTGTTGGCATAGGCCTATATTTTTTATTATTCTTTTCCTTACGACCTACTTTAGCAGGAAGGGTCTTTGGGCTTTCAGGAGTAGTTACTTGAGGCTTATTTAGATTAATTTTAACAAGGTTTTCATAAACTTCCTTAACTGTTTTTTCCTTAGGTAGTTTTGCTATAAAGCTTAACTGTTTATGAGAATTGGCTGCATTACTGCAGTTGTTGCAAGCTGACCTATTTTCCAGGATTGTTATGTTTACCTGGAGAGTAACGTTAATTCCCCTAGACTCAATGGTCAAATGAGAGGTGAGTAATATTCCAATTAAAATAAAGCCAAACAAAAACCATTCAATTCCCAAAAATATGCTGCGCTCCCCCTGAGGTCGGTCGCCTTGCGCCGTCCACCTCAGGAAGGCCTTGCAGTTTCCTGGGTCAGGGGAGGGGCACAGCACCTCACTTTAGGTCAATGATTAAATAAACTGTAATTATACCTCTATGAGTGATGCAAATTGTAATTCATTAGAGAAAAATATAGGTAGCATAAATTTTTAATAATGTTTTGATGGGATATATTTAATTATTTTGATATATTTATAAAAAATAAAATGACATAACTTTGATAGTCTTGTATTTGAATATAGGACCAGGGTAACTCCTCATAATGTACAACCACAAGAATGGGATCCTAAACTGAATCAGTTATACTCTATGTATGTATAATTTGCCCAAGTACATTCTACTGTCATGTATAACTAAAAAGTACAAATAAATAAAAAGTACAAATAAAAAAAGAATAAAATGATTTTAAGGCATCAAACTTACTCCTCATCTGATTAAAATAAAAATAAATTCAAACATGAATGAATGGGATATGATCTAAGTGTTGAAATAATAGCATAATAAATTTCTTAGGCTTCAAATTGTATGTAAACCATCATGAAGAACAGTTGAAGCTTTTCCTTCCTTAGATATTTTAATATCTAGTATGAGTTCAGTGATTCTCAGTAAATTTACATTGGTTCACTGAGTCATTAATTGACTCAGGCTTCTATCCTACTATTTTTTCCATACAAACTACCAGTAAAAAATATTGATTTCTGCTTCAGAGCTAAAAAATTCTCTAAATAGAAAATATATATGTATTATACATATAATTGCATATATAATTATATGTAGATTATATATTATGTAGCAGAAATATATTACATATGTATTTATATATGCATATATAATTATATATATATAGATTCTCTTTAGAGACTCTTTTATATCAGTAATATATGTACTATATATGTATAGTGTATAATGTATCATATATATGTGAATATATAATATGTAGATTCTCTCACACATCTATAAACTCAACATTGTACAAGCCACTTTTATTGTCATGAGAGCAGATTATTTATTATTATGTTGGCTTTCTGCTCTATGTCATTGGTTCTCTTCATTATAAATATACACATATTTCTTTCCCACACTGCTATGGCCTCAAAAAGTATTTATAAATATCTTTGCACTGGATTTTTTTAAAAAAATGTCCTTTTAGATTTATTTGCATTGACAGTGTTTTTTTTTTTTTCATCTTTGTGAGAATGAGGATGTTAATATTGTAATACTGTTTGTGAAATTACTTCCACTGGATATAAGAACTTCCTTTAAACATTTAAAACTATTTTTCATATGTATAAACAGTCCATAGTAAAAGAGAGGGTGACCAACTCAGATTCTACAATGCCTAGAAAAGCCATCAGCTGCTTTCCTTTTAACTCACACCTGTAGTTGGAATTCCTAGTGATTAGTTAAAATTCCAGCCCCAAAAAGTCAAAGGTAGAATGTTTTCTCTTTTTTTTAATTTTTTTTTATTATTAGTTGTTCAAAACATTACAAAGCTTTTGACATATCATATTTCATACATTTGATTCAAGCGGATTATGAACTCCCATTTTTACCCCATATTTTCTGATGTTTTAATTATGATTTGGTTTCTACTTTAAGCCAAGATGAAGCAATATCGAATGCATTTAACCTTTTGTCTGAAAAAAAATCTCAAAATGCTCAGACTACTCAGAAAATGGAGAAACAGTTCACAGGAACACAGCCCATCAGCCACTGTATAATCATGACCTCTGAGAAACGGGAAATAAGTAAGGCTTTCCTTTCAGCTTACCAAATTAATAATGTGTTCAGGCTTTTGTGTGGCAAGGGAGACTCCAGACAAGGCTAGCCCATTCTGGCTTTCTCCCTGAGTTAAGTAGAATCCTGTTGACCAGATAAACTGAGGCTGTTAGATTTTTCAGGACAGAATACAAGAGAGCGGAGAATTACTGCAATATTTTTGATGGTCATATTTGTAAGTGTAATCCTAAATGTCTTTTTTTATGCTTATTAACTATTTGTATATCTCATTTGAAAAATGTCTTTTTTGTATAATTTATATATTTTAGATTATATTCTTTGATTTATTATTAAACTGTGAGCCTGCTTTATGTATTCAGAATAAAAATACTTTATCAAAAGTGTAATTTACAACCATTTCTCCTAATCCATGGTATGTACTAGCTGACATTTATAGAATACTCCATTTAGTAACTGCTTAATAAACATTCTTTTCAAGTGAATAAACTAGTACAATGTGTAATGCAGATACAGTACCAATTCTTCAAAATTTCTAAAAGGAAACGAAAAGAGAATATTTCCTAACTCTTTCTGTAAAGTCAGCATAATTATTTATACAGAAAGCAAATAAACACATTAAAAGAAAGGAAAACAACAGATCAGTATCTCTCATGAACAGACAACATCCTCTACAAAGCAACAGCAAATTGAATAAAAATGTACAAAAGAACTGCAACATGAACAAGTGGGCTTTAGTCCAAGTATTTAAGGATGGTTCAACAGTTAAAACTCAATAAATTTAATACGCATGTTAATATGCTAAGAAAACAAAACATTATCATGTCAACAGAAAAGAAATTTGACAAAATCTAATACCCATCAATGGTACAAATGCTGTGCAAATAAAGTAGAATTTTCTCAACTCGATTAAAAAAAAAAACTTATAAAGAAACCTACTGCTAATGTCATAGTTCATGGTTAAAGAAGAATGCTTTTCCCTTTTGGATCAGGAATAAGACAAAAATGTCCACTCTTACTACTCTCTTCCACATTGAATTGTATGTATTAGCTCGTGCAAGAATATAAGGACAGAAAAGTTACACAAATTTTAAAAAAATTATTTTCTTTATCAGATGGCATGATCGCTATGTAGACCTCTCCATAAAAGTATAAACATAAATTATTCCTGGAACTAAGTAGTAAGTGCAGCAAATTTTCAGTAGTCAATGTTAATACAAAAACATCAGTTATTTTCCTATGTACTATCAATGAACAATTGAAATTTAACATTTATAAGTACCACTCACAATAGCACCAAAACAATAAACATTTTTAGACGTAAATCTAACATACATGAAATATCTATTTGGAAAACTATAAACTGAAAATATGAAAGAAATCATATATCTTAAAAACAGATAGTCTATGTTCACGGGTTGGAAGACTCATGATGGTTTAGGTGTCAGTTCTTTCCGACTTATCTGTAGTGTGCACTCTCAAACAAATGACTTGAAACTATTTTGTAGGCAATGGCCAACTGATTTTAAGTATAGAGAAAGGCAAAACCCAGGAGCAGTCAACACAATGTGTAAAGGAACACCTGTGGAGGAATACCTGTGAGGAGGTGCACAAAGAGCAGACACAGACACAGGATATGAGCAGACAGACAGGATGGAGGGGCGGTGGAGGGAGTGAAGTGATGTGGTGAAGAAGTATAGAAGTGAAGTGTTTGCTCCTCCCTCCTGCTGAGTTTTATTAACTCATAAAAGGTTACATATTACCCATCACACCTGACTACACTCTAATCAGTATTCCTTTAACTCTGAGTGCTAGCTAACTAAGATAAGGTCCCAGTTAATACAAACACAGAGCCTCTCAAACCCAAGGATGTTGCTATGGAAACCAGGTAGTTATCTTAATAGCCTCAGGAGAAAACTGCTGGGTATTTCAATCATGGGAATCAGGCTGCCAGTAAACCCCAGGGAGTTTGCTCACTGGGGGAACGGTTCCCTATTTCCATGGTCAGAATACCTACAACAATGCTGAGGAAGAAGAACAAAGTTGGAGGATTCATACTATGTAATTTCAAGACTTATTCTAAGCTAAAGTATACAAAATAGCATGGTATTGAGGTAGAATAGAAGAAATAAGAAAAGGTAGAAAGGAGACGTTCCTTTCTCAGAAATTTCTCAGAACTCTCTAAATGTACCCGTCCACTGTTAATTAACCTCCTAATAATTAGATGAAACAACAACAACAACAAAAAAAGAGATGATGTAATGAGAGACCTATAATTTATGGGAATTTCTGGTGCTGTCTGTGGATCAGATAACAAAGACCTTGTCAGTCTAACATTCCAGAGATTGACTGAAACCACCAGAAACTGTCTTTGAGATTGTTGGACTGATAACATTCCTACATACTTTTCCATACACAACCCTCACCAAATGTTCTTTAAAAGAAGAGCTGGGTACCCCCAAAATACTTCTCTCAGTCTCAAAGTGGCCCACATTCTCTGCTGAATGAGCATTCCTTGCTTCACTCTCAAAGACATCTCTCTCTTTACACTGCCCCAATTTTCTCTTGAATTTTTATCTTCTTTCCTAAGTAACCCTCAGTCTATGCCTCTGACAGGTGAATGTTGAAATTCTTTACTGTCACATATACAAAGAATCCCACTGGTCCTGAGTGGAGTTCCCTCCTCTCTCTCAGAACTCCTTGGACACTTCTTTGGAGACAAGTCTTCTTCTGTTATCAGTGAACAAACAGATACACAACTCAACAGAACAGAATAGGAACACCTTCATTGAAATAGTAAACTCATTTTTGAGAAAGGGCAAAAGGTGAACTTGTAGGAAAAGGAGTTATTTTCTAACTATTCATCTGTCATTTATTTCATATATATGTTTATGTATATGTGGCAAATGGTACCAGGAAACCTGTATATCCACTTGCAAAAAACAAACAGAAAAGAACCCAGATGCAAATTTTATATCGCAAGCAATTTTTAATTCAAGCAATCATAGAACCAAGTATAAAATGAAAAAAATCTATAAAACTTCTGGAACAAAACAGGAATATAATCTACATGACCTTTATTTAGTGAGGAGTTTTTAGACACAACACCAAAAGTACAATCCATGAACATAAGATGGATTTTATTTAAATTTAAAAATTCTGGGGTGCAAAAGATATATTTGAAAGAATAAAAACATAAATTACAAACTAGTAGAAAATAGTTGTGAAATACATACCATCTGATAACAAAAAAAGTTCTTAAAATATGTAGAGAACATCTACCTTCTGATGATAAGAAAACAAAAAACCCAAATAGAAATTGAATAAAAGATCTGAACAGACACTTTATCAAAGAAGATAGATGAACAATTAGCACATGAAAAAAAATGTTCCACATCATTTTTCATTAGAGAAATGAGAATGAAAACAACTCAGAGATACCACTAGGACCTTTTTAGAATGCTAACATTCAAAATGCTGTCAACACCCATTGCTGATGAGAAGAGGGAGAGACAAAGCCTCAATCATTGTTAGTGGGAAGCAAAACGACACAGGGACTTTGAAAGACAGCTTTGCAGTTCCTTACAAAGATAAACAGAGTCCATCATATGACCATGTAGCCAAAATTCTAGGCATTTACCCAACATATTTGAGAATTTAAATCAATACAAAAGCCTACATATGAGTGTTTATTGTACCTTTACTTATAATTGCCCCAAACTAAAAAATAGCTAAGATGTCCTTCAATGAGTGAATAAATAAGCAAGCTGCATATGTTCCTATGATGAATTCAGCAATAAAAGAACATGAGCTATCAAACTATAAAAGCATATTTATAAATTTTAAATGTGTATGGCATATTGAAAGAAACCAGTCTGAAAAGGCTTTATAATGCATGAGTCCATACATTATCTGGATAGGGTCTAATGTAGAGATGCCAAATATATCAAGAGTTACCAGCATTTAGGAGAGGTATAGAGTTGAAAGATGAAGAACTTGGAGGTTTTTTGAGCATGTATGATATAATTATGGTATGATATCTTTGAAAACTCATAAGACTTTATGACAGAAAGAATGAACATTAATTCATGCAAATTTAAAAATCAGTTTGGGGGTTGAGAATTCTAGGATGATATTCAGAAAGTGCCAAAAGACTTTAACTTCATTACAAATGCATAAGCAGCCTCACTGAAGGTGAGGCTGTTGCTGATCTAAGTAACTTAGAAATGAGTAGAAACTGTAGGACAAAAGGAATTGTGCATATTAAGCACTATGATCTAGTTGATAAATAGTTTCTTATGAGGTTTGGGGAAACCATTCCCAAGCCATTAAATATGTATGTTGAAATCAAAAAATTAAGCAAATTAAGTATGATGGTAATAGTCCTGCTGATTTTTTATTATTGGAGTGGGAGGTTATAGAATTGTGAGGCAAGAGGCTAGAAGTATTCATGTGCATTGGAATTGTAGACAACTGTGTGAACTGAACTCATGAAGTCAACTGATAGAGCTCCCAATGGCCAAAGATAGAAAAATGTGGGCATCAAAAAAAGTAGTACTGATTAGAATTATAAAATCAATATAAGTAGATATATACTAAAATAAAGGAGTAAGTAAATAGAAAAGTAGGTAAATATTCCCAGGAGAATTCTGAAAATGTCTTCACAGTGTCTATATACAACCCAATCCTTTCCTTGCGATGCATATATTGGGCTTCTTCCAAAGAGTACAATTTGGAAATGGGGAGGGGGAGAATAACTTTACACTAAATAAACCTTTAAACCCTATCTCAGCCAGTTGATTAACATAAACAGTGAGAACCCATATTGATAATATATACCCTCAATAAGGTGATGAGACTGACAATTTATCTCAGCATTCTTCTTCCAAAAATCTATAACCCATGTATAATAATGAAAAGAACAGCAGACTATTCAAATTTGGGAATATTCTACAAAATATTTGACCATTATTTTTTCAAAACTTTCAAAGTCATCAAAAATAAAGAGTAATAAACATTACAACTAAGGATATGAATATAAGAACTAAATGTATTGTGGTATTCTATATGGGATCCTTAAAGAAAAGATATTAGGTAAAAACTGAGAATCTTTCAATATAGACTTTAATTAATAGTAATGTGTCAATATTGATTCAATAATTTTGGTATATGTATCATATTAACCTAATGAGAATTTTTTGTATTATCTTTATAATTTTGCTACAAATACAGAACTATGATAAAAAAGCATTTCATGTATGAAGGAGAGGTCCCTTCCCTTTTTAAACCATATCCTCTGTGGTTTTAGAGTGGTAAGCTTTGTTTCAACAAGACATTTTGTAGGCACTGATTGCTTTTGGCAAATAATGTCTCTATTTCCACCTCATTCAAAAATGGATTTTTCTATTTATGGAATGGTTGGACAAAACACAGAAAGATCTATATTTCAGAAGCCAAGAAAACATTCCCATCATTGTCATCACAAGTGGACATATAAAGGTAAGAACTTATAATTCCCATTGTACTACCAATTATGCATCTATAATTCTTGGGGAGAATTTCAATTCTGTTATCAATAAGAACATTTAAAAACTTGAACTACAGCCTAGTGTTAAGAAATGTTGCTACCTTATTTTGAAATAATATATTTGCTTAGCTGTCTTACTGGTACACTGTGTTATCTATCTCTGCAATTCACACACCCAGCCCAGTTCCTGGCAATAATAATGTTTATAAATATTATTAAAATGAATATAATGAATACATTTTTACCCTGGATTGAAGATTATGAAATTCTTACAATGCTTATTTGTTAAAGAAAAATATACAATTATAAAGATGAGCATGTAAGTTTTATTTCATGAATTAATACAAATGTGTTTTAATTTAAATAATATTTGGGAAAATGAAAATGGCTACAACATTCAGTTTTGCTTGTGTATCTCCTTTAGACAATCGTTTTAACTTCCACTCAGTTATTTTGATACTACTTGAATATAATACAAGTAATTCAGTCAAGATGTAAATGAATATAAATGATAAATTTTAGTTGGAATATTTTGTTTGATCAACTAATATTCACCCATTCTCTGTATGAATTATGGTTTGGGAACAAAAGTGTTAATATAAGAAGGATATTTAATAAGTATTAAATGAATGAAGTGTTTTGACTTTTTATAATCAAATCCAATTTTTAAAGATAATTACATACAAATTCATCTCAGGGTAATCTAACAGACTTTGTATGTTCCATTATACCATGGAAAGACAATGTATACACTCAGAATTTTTCATTTATATGACACATTTTTAAGTTCATTTTAATGTCTAAAAGTTTTAGAAGAAAAATTATTCATTACAGATTACCCAGAGTGTCCAAAGTGGCATCAGACTGCTCTGAGACTGATGGGCATTGTACTTGTTATACTGGTGACCACAGTGATAGGACTAATCATTCGGGGTGAGTAAATTGAATTTACATGTTTAGCTAGAGAGGCAAAAACATTTCCTTTGGAGTTTAACTTCTACATTCTCTAACTTCTTACATTTTTTTTTTGTATTTAGAAGGCCACCTTTATGAAGTCTGTGTTCATGGTCTTTTTTTTTTTTATTAGTTGCTCAAGACAATACAATGATCTTGACATATCATACATTTGATTCAAATAGGGTATGAATCCTCATTTTTCCACGTGTATAGATACATTTTTTAATGAAGTCCTCATACTCTTTTTCATCATTTTAATTATACTGACATTAAATGATACCACTTCAGATTCCATTATAATTAGTTTTTGCCTATACAGAGGAAGCAGCAAATGTATTATTTTATAAAAAACTACTTTGTTCATACATTTACCTGCTTGGCAAATCTTTAGTGACTGTCACTGTTCTAGGAACTGAAGTTACATATTTTGGTGATAGCTCTATAAATTTTGTAGAAGTTGATCTGGCCCTTTCAGTAAAAATTTGGACTTCACAGGTGACCTGATGCTTTGGAGTTTTGAACAAAAATTATCAGCTACTTTAAAATATAAGCCCAAGTTAAATTTAAGATCTTTAACTATGAAATGTAAATACGAAATATGTACAATTATATTCATAATTGTTTCTATTTGCTGTTACCTGCTACATGTTAGGAGTTATGTAAACATTTTATATACATCATTTCTGAAACTTAAAAGAATGTGCAAGTTTGCTAAGCATTTCCCTTTTTACAGGGAAGAGCACACACAGAATTTCAAGATCACATGCAGAATTCTAACCTATCAGACTAAAGAGATAAAAGCTTAAATTTAGTTTTATTTGGATAATGATGCTTTTTGTTTCTACTTAAGTTTTTGTAGGAAGAAATTTCCCAAATCTTGAAATTCATATTTTTCTTGTCAAATTTAAATGAACAGATTTCTTTTTTTTAATATTTACTTTTTAGTTGTACACAATACCTTTATTTTGTTTATTTGTTTTTATGTGGTGCTGAGGATCAAACCCAGGGCCTCGAACATGCTAAGCAAGTGCTCTACTGCTGAGCCACAACCCCAGCCTCTAAACAGATTTCTTGACAAGCAATTTGTGGATTCACTTGCAGTTTAATTGAAATAAATAATTAAAAGGCACACGCTTCCATTTATAGAAATATAATTACTGTTAATGTTTTTGTTTATTAGTAAGTCATCAAAACATGCATTCCTTCAGTGATAACCACAGTGAGCAGATATTTAGTAATGAAAATGGAACCAAATATTGCAATTGTATGAATACTTCTCCTAGAAAACAGCTGAACAATGCAAACTCCGCAGGTACGTGATTTTATTTCATTGTAATGTTGAGAAGGAAAGTCTTTTCCTCCATCCTCTTAGGGGTGGTCAGTAAGTAAGTCAAACTGATAAAAGATTAACAGAAGACAAGATTTTATTAGAACGGATATAGAAACTAAAGAGAGAATTAGCCAAATCACTAACATGGTACCTAGCTTTTTAAGGAAAGACCAGGAGGAAGCCTCTATGAGAATAAAAGTAGATTTCTTTAGGAAAGACCTACAGGTTTTTCAGAAGAACAAACGAGGGATAAGAAAGTTTATAATAATATCTTATGTTTATCCTTGTGCAAATGGTCTTCTTGTCTTCTTTAGGGCCATTAACTTCTCAGGGAGAGGATGTTGGTAGTTGGTAGATTTATTCCCAGTCTTTTTCCTGGGAGTGACCCCCCCATCACACATATGCACCACCCCATCCACAACCTGACCCATGAAGAAGGAAAGTATGTCGCCTCATTTCTTAGAAGTTTCTGCCTTTGGTCAGAGAAGGGGAGCCTCCAGGATTCTTTCTGTCTGTTGAACCTCAAATGTCTTCATATTGAAATAATTTTTATGCAAAACCGGAATATTTGAGAAGGCATGTTACCATCCTTTTTATTTCTCTCATCTGGAATTTTCTAAAGTGTCTTCAGATGGTGGCATGTGTACAATGGGGGAAATTTAGTAAATTTCGTGTCATGCACACTAGTGTTATAGTCACTGTAATTCTTCTGTGTAGAGAAAGGATCAATGAACTTTATTTAGCTTGTGGGACTTCTTCAGATGGTCCAGGTAAGGATCTAGGCAGTCAAGTTTTAGTTTTCAGTGATACTCATTCTCAACTGAAACAACATTTCTCTCTACAGTCATCTCCATTTCTATCAAAGATAATCAAAGTCAAATTATTTTGTTTACAAAAATAAATATCATTTAACTTGGCCTGATTATTTGCATAAGGGTAACAGGGAGCGTATTGATCATATAAGTCTTTTAAAGGTTGCTTTGTTGGAATAAGGAAATCAAGTTGGACTCCTAGAAACCTCTTGAAGATAGGAAGCCAAATTACAAACTCTCCATCAGACCTCACTGGTAGTATCTATAGATATGAATGAATTCCTGTCTTTTTAGAGGCCCTTATGCATCTTCAGATTCTTGGGCTTGCCCAGAAGCAATCTTCCTTATTCAAATATGAGTCTGAGAATACTATAAGCCATGTTTCAGGTCATTTTTTAAAATTGGTTCCACAAACTGAACCTTAGTTTTTGAAACTGTCCAGTTATATCTAATTTTATACACATTATTCTCAAACATGACATTCCTGGTAAAATCTCATGTTTCTAATTATGTTCTGTTGCAAGGATAACAGGTTCTTATTAAACAGCTAACTGAACTACCGTGAAGATAAAAATATTCAATTAGAATTTCCATATTTTGGAGACATTAGGAGAGGAAAAGAGATAATTTTTTTAGTTTTGTTTATAAAGCCATAAAATACTCAGTTACATAAATTACACATAGCTGAGAAAAAAGAGACAAAAATTGCTTATATATTCAGAAATTAGGATATTAAAGAGCCAGTAACATTTTGAGAGAATTTTATAAAAGAAATCATGATCATTTTTCTTTAGTTCATTTGGTCTCCTATAATTTTTTTCTTGTTCTACTTTATCTTGGGATAGCAGTTTTACCAGTTAGCTCCTTCATTAGTTCTGATTCTTTACCCAGTCCAATGCTGTGGACTTCAAATTATTGATGCAATGACACCAGAAGTTCTTACTTTTTCCATGGGTCTTTTAGAAGACAAAGCCTTTTGAACTGTAATGAATTTTATGTATTTAGGAAAGCATAAAACAGTAACTGTGAATGACAAAGGGCTTAAAAATGGCTATGGTTTAAGATTTGATGAGAGTAATGCAATTGATAAAGATCTCTGGTTGTTTCTATGATACATATTTTAAGATAATAACTGCAATTCTGACAGATAATGTTATTCATAGAAATTTCATGTATAGTAGGGACATTGTTAAAATTTTAGTAACCTCATAACAATTCTGAAATATTTATATTAACAAATGTAACCCCATACAAATATAACAAGGATAATTAAAGCCCCCTTCATATTTAACAAGGCTTCCCACACAATTTAGAATCTCAAATGAATCTAACTGGTTAACATTTTTCAAAAGTAATACCTTTAAGATTTTCTAGGTGCTCTCTGGGCAAAATTGTTTGTTTTTAATTTGATTTGGGAAATGAGTCAAAAATATCCAAAAATTTGAATACTTAGGTCAACAGAATCATATATATCATGATAAAATAATACTTAGTCATATGTTTAACCCACATGATAAAAAAATTAAAAAGCAAATACAGAAGTTAACATGAATATAAAAAAAACTTAGCTCTTTTCAGTATTGTGAAAACTTAGTTTTCGGTAATCAGTCACGATAAACACAACATAAAGTAGTTGAATTTATTTGAATAAGGTTCAGAATCTGTTTCCTAAACAGATTACTTGCAGGGTAAAGAAACATATTTTATAATCTCTTATGAAGAATAAACAAAAAATTCCAAGAAAATTTTATCATTTTAATAAAAGGAAAACAAAACTCTAGTTTTGCACTGCTATCCTATCAAAATCAAAATTCAGTTTAAAACTTAAAAAAAATCCATTTAATTTCAGCCAACTTGACCATATGAGCTAAGATTCTTTCTATATGATAAAAGCATGTAAAAATACATATAATATATTTTAATTGTATTGTTACAAAGTAGTAATATAAAAATCATATATATTAGATATTTATTTTTTTATTCTTCAAAATGCCCATTTGTTAAGAAATAATAAAATGTTTATCATATTGGCCCCTTTTAAAAATTAGGATGCCTATTTTTTTCTTACTTGTAAGTTCCTATTATACCATAAAAAATTCTCAGATGTTATAACTATTTCCTAAGTAGAAAATCTACCCCAAGCCATAAATTTTATACATTTTAAATGCATCATTCCAAGATAATTTCTAAGGCTTATGTAGATTTAGTATAATTTGTATATGTGTTATTTTGTGTTTTAAAGTGAGTGAAAGAATACAACATGAAAAATATAACTAATGTGCATGTTTATAATGATGCTTCTGGGTTAAGACTTTAGTCTTTCTCCACACTCCCACAGTAGGTTACTTTAGGCACTACCGTCTTCCCCCATGCTTATGCTCCCATAGGCTTCTCTAGGTCACTTGGAGGCTCTCCTCCTCCTCCAGCAATGCAGCACTTAAGGACTTTTGTATAAAGTATTTTATACTTTCTATTTTTATGTTTATATGTTTATATATCATTTGATAGATAAGTTTATGCACAAATTTATGGATATTTAAAAATACATAATATTTAAATAATGAAGTAATTAAAATTTAAATAAAATTTAATCAATATTTATATAGCTTAATATATAAAAACATATGGCATTAGTTGAAACCTGTATGTACCCTTTCTGAATGTAGGTTTATTTTAATATCCATTTCAACTTTTCCCTTTTCATAAAGATACATTTGGTGGTCATTGAGACACACAGATACTGAGGTCATGGTAAATCATTTATTTTACAAATTTCTGATAATGTATGTATGGAATATATTTTTCTGTATCAAAAAGGAATTTTTAAAGGAATTGGTTTTTTTCCTCATCAGTTTTTTTCCCCCTGATATCTTTTATGCTCTCTGATTTCAAAGATAACTCTCATATCCTTTGATTTTTAATCACTCAGAAATTTACTTGAGGATTCTAGTTAGAATTTTAAAAATGGTTGTCTGCTATAAAAAATAAAATATTTTAATTTATTCTCTTTTTAAAAAATCACTCCTCTGTTCAAGATCTGTTGGTGGGCAACAGATCTTGATCGCTAAAATTTCTGGTCATGGTTTCCTAAGACATTGGTTTTGTGGTTTAATCCTTGGGTTGATCTACATCCTGAAAGTCAGTTTCTTACAATCACGACAGGAACAGGAACCCAGTCAGAGATCAGATTGCTGAAAATTTACCCTTTGAGTTCTTTAAGAGTATAGCACCTTTTATCTCTTGTGTAGTTTGTGTAAATGTACTAATATGACCATGGCTTAAAGTTTCCTTCTGCCCTTACACTTATTATCTCTTTGAACTTTTGAGTCAGTTACTGTATCTCTGCTTCACTGTCCCTCTTTCTACTTTAACTAACCTTTAATATCCTTATATACACAAAGAGGAGTTTAAAATTGATAATTTTATGGCTCTCATAAGTTTGTTAGGCAAAAATTTCATATATTCACATACATTCAAAATTCAGAAAATTATTTCATGTGTGGTAGTTACTAAAATAATAAATATGAATATGTTTAGCATTTGTCTCTTCTAAAGACATTCTTCATTGGAACGTGTGTTCATTTCATAAAAATGGGGCAAAATTCTTACTTTTAATGAAGAAGTTTTAAAAAATAATGCAAAAATTGTTTTTATATTGAAACTTCTTTCTCATTTCTATGTCATCCTATCTTCCTATTTCAGCAAACTTATGCCCTGATGATTGGCTACACAAAAAAGGGAAATGTTATAAATTTTTCATGAATTTCAAATCATGGATCGATAGCCAAAACTCATGTTCTCTGAAAAAGTCACATCTCTTGGTGATACAAGACAAGGCAGAGCTGGTAAGAAATAATCTGTCTTCAAAACTGGAAAAAATAGATCCATTTTATGACAAAGGAATTATACAAGTATTAGTTATTTCCATTTCTTGCATTCCTACTATGTGCTAGGCATTGTGCTATGCATTTTACAATTTTTATATAAGTCAGTGCTCAAGATAAACTTGTAAGATAAATAGAATTTTCCCTGCTTCCAAATCAGAACTTTGCCAGGTGTGCAATTAGACAATTTCATTGTACAAGTAAATGGCAAATCTAGGTTTTAAACTAAGGCCCATTTACAATGTCAGCCTTCCATATTCTTGGAAGGAAAGATAGGAATGATTGGAGATACTCATCAAAGCATTACCAATTTCTGGGAATATTGCTAGTATCTGGAGTAGGTGAGACGGGCTTTTTAGTTTGGTTAGTGTATAGTTTCAGCATAGGAACCAGATTTGTTTGAGACTGCTCATTGATAGTTGAAAACAACTAGTGAACAGCTGCCTTCATCAGGAAGGTTTATTAATTCTTTGTTGGGACTTCACATCTCTTTGCACCCCTCATCAGCTGCTCACATTGCCATGACTTTATGAAAGCTGCATATGACCTCACACAACAAGATCATGTGGTTTGAAAATTGTCCTATATTGAGTTTCTTCCATAAAATTATGGACACCTCTTATAATTTTCCTGATTACCAAGATAAACACTAAGGCCATTTTCAGTCAGGAGAAAAAGTGAGAAGAGGCTATCTTCAGAGGCTTAATTTGGTTAATTTTCACTGGTTCCTTTCACAGGAATTCATACAGAGTAATATACAAGTTGGAAACCACTTTTGGATTGGGTTAAACATTACATACCCACAGAAGACATGGACCTGGGTGGATGGCACACCATTAAATCTACAGTTGTAAGTGTTTGGCATGCAAATATCATTGGGGAAATGTAACAGCTCTGCAGTGTGCAACTACTGGTGACTCTCTGGAATTCCAATGGCCAGTTGGTTGCTACAGATGGAAGATTTTGATCTCTTTTAATGTGTGAAGAATAGAAAATCTGTGTTAGAGAAATAGACTCCTAAACTAATTTATTCTTATATTAAGACTTCCATATAATTTAATAATGCAAGAGTTGGTAAGCAGGCTGAGGATAGTGAAAAATGCCCTGGAATAGAAGGCCACCATCCAAATGAAGATTCTCACCTACAGATGATCTACATCTCTCATTAAAATTTATATTCTATATTATAAATTGCATATTTATGCCATCCTTCCATATATCAGACACAATAAATTAAGAATTTTTTTTAGCTTTGATGATTTCTAACAGAAATCTACCACCTCTGTCAACTGACATACAAACTTGCTTAGAGTAATTAATTTACTAATCTGATTGTTAGAACTGGGTATTTGCTGATTACTTTTAGATTATGAAATTGCCTTATAACTTATTTGCCTAAGAAAAATTTGGTTGGAACATCATGGAAAAATGGAAAAAAAGAGAAACTTCCATCTTTTGTGATAAGGTTAATGAATTTGGATATACCCATATATACATTGCATGCACAGAAATTCTCTTGTCAATATGAGTTCAAAAAAATTAAAAGGGAGTTTTTCTTCCCTAGTCCTCATTATAATTCTCATTTCTACCTCCAGTCCTGTCTTGAGTAATGTTGCCACCATTTGAAGCATAGAGGTACCTAGGAATCAAAGAGAATCAGAGGTTTATCAAATAAAGAGAAGATTTTTTATTAAGTGTGACATTGAGATTTAAGGGCGGAAGATGAAAAATTAATAGTTTGATATACAGAAAGTTGGCTTAATATTTTTTGAAAACTATGTATATTTTTGAGTGTCGATATTTCCAAACTTAAAATGATGAATATGATACTGTTTAGTATGGAAGCTGATATTAATTAATTATTGTGGATACTAAAAAAGATACTAAAAACAGGAATTTGGGGGTAAGAAAGTAAATATTTACCTTAAAATGGTCAGATTGTCCTCTCAGATCTTTATTTTTCATATTATTTCATAGGATTGGTAAAGGAATATTGTTTTATTCACCTGCTTATTTCCATTGATCACATACAAGTGAGCATTTTTGGTTTAAGAAATAATTTGAAGCAATTTCTTCATTAAAGAAGAATTTTTTGGGGGGTGGAGAGGCTGTTGCTGGGAATTGAACCCAGGGGCACTCAACCACTGAGCTACATCCCCAGTCCTATTTTGTATTTTATTTAGAGACAGGGTCTCACTGAGTTCCTTAGCACCTCACTTTCACTGAAGCTGGCTTTGAACTTACTATCCTCCTGCCTTAACCTCTTAAGCCACAAGGATTACAGGTGTGCACCACCATACCCAGCAGAAATATTTTTTAATGCATATTTCTTGCTCGAATATTGCAGTACCTGAAATTTATAACTTAAAATGGAAATAAAAAGCATAAAAAATTCACATAGTTGTGCTTTTAATAGTAACTGACAACAGTTATCTGGGAATCACTAAAAAGTTGCTTTTTCCTCTACAGATTTCAAGTCACAGGCCAGATTAAAGAGAATGCCTGTGCTCTGATAACAAATAAGGGTGTTTTTTCTGAAAAGTGTTTGATGGAAAGTTTCTGGATTTGTCAAGAAGTGATTTCTTCATCCAAAGCAGGCAATCTCTGAATTGATCATAGGTATTCTTCTTATTAAAAAAAATTCTTCATAATTTTTGCATTTAGATATTTTAAAGAAATTGTTTCTTTAACAAATATCATGATGATGATAATAAAGGTGTAGATAATAATGGTGTTACTGTAAATTCAAGCATTCACCCTCAGCTTAACCTTGACACTAGCACTGAATTTCACACTTATCTTTCACTCTCACTGACTTCTCAAAACTTCACTCTATGCCTCTTACAGGGGACCTTGATTTTTAGGAGAAGCCATTAGATGATATCTTTCTAAATCTTCTACCACTTAAATTACAGAATTCATTTCCTACTTAAATTACAGAATTCATTTATATCAAAATCAAATATCTTAGTTTATAGTGGGGTTGCAGCCCTTATAATTTTTTTTTTTTTACAAAGAGAACCCTTTGGTTATTTCTTTCTAATTTCACTCTTGTTCTTTAACAGCCAAACATGCAAGAGTAACAAGAAAAATTTCCCTTAACCACATGTGGTTTCCAGTTTCTGCCCAACTTCTCCCACATTTTTAAGTCAAACTTCCTGAAAGTTGTTTATACTTGCTTTTTCTACTTTCTTACTTTCACTCCATGTTCTTTAAAATTTGTCTTCTGCTTTTACACTGTTTCACAAAAATATTCTTACCATGTCAACACTGGCTTTCCTATGTCTAAAGACAATGAGAACTTTCTAGGTTTCACTATAACCCTGAGCAGTGTTGATCATTATGGACTTATCCTTTCTTCTTGAAATATTCTCTAATCTTAGCATCTATGGCACAATGCTCTCTAGAACTTTTATCTACTTTCCCAGCTGTTCCTCCTCAGTCTTTACGGCAGGATCTCCTTCCCCTTCTGTCCTCTCACATACTCATGTTCCTCAGAATTCTGCCTGAGTCCTCTATCATACACATGCTGGCTACATCCACTCCATAACATCAGTTGCCATCAACTTGATAACTCCCAACTCCATATTTCCAAGGATTGACACTAATATATCTGATTGCCCAACAAACATCTCTATTTGACCTATCAAGGCCTCTCAATTTTCCCATATTAAAAATTAAAATTATTAATTTAGCGAATTGCAGAAACACTCTCATACTAGTTTAACTTGGAGTCATTGGAATCAAGAATGACTGTGTGAATGTGACAACTTTCCTATGTACATATATAAGTACACTACAGTGAATCTCCACATCATGTACAACCACAAGACTGGGACGCTAATTAGAATAAGATGGATTCCATGTTTGCATAAATACGTCAAAATATACTATCATGCATAACTAAAAACAACAATGAAAGAATGTGTTCTTTTCATTCTCCACATTCAAATATTTAAGTCTTGTCAATTTTAACACCTAATTATTTCTGGAATTGGTCTACACAATGTTCATACCCAACCTATCATCCTGGATGACTGCAATTGCTTCTAGTTTTGCCCACCAAATCTATTCTCAATATTGTTTCTCTGCAAACCTCAAATCAGAGAGTATTACTGTTTTATTCCAAGGGAGGTTCACTGTAGAAGGCCCTTACTCACACTTCCCAGCTCCTTCATGTCTTGGCTTCTCTTCATTCCTCCCCATTTCTGAGCTTCCATATGATGGAGCCACACTCAACTTTGCTGAGTCATTCAGACATGTCAGGTTTTCTGTCAGTTCTAATCTGATCACATTGTCTGCCTCAGCTTAACAAGCATTCTTCCTCTCCCTACTCATCTACTTAAGCTTCCTTATTTTTCAGGTCACCAGTTAAATGTCATTTGGAGGAAATACTTCCTTGAACAACTGATGTTATGGAGTGGATGTAGCCAGCATGTGTGTGATAGAGGACTCAGGCAGAATTCTGAGGAACATCAGTATGTAAGAGGACAGAAGAGGAAGCAGAGGCTGCAGAGTAAATTGCATAGGTTTCATATATATTTTTACAGCTCCTTGCACATACCTAATTTTAACAGTCAACATCCTAATCATTTTGGTTCTTTCTTGTTTAGTTGTTCATATTTCTTAATGTGTCATAAGCTTTTTAGACTCACTAATCCTCATCATTGTGTGGAGCAAGGTACCTGATGTATAATACTTGAATAAATACCTGTGGTGTCCAGCATGTATTTAATATGTTCTAAGACTCATCCCAGAACAACTTCTATTGGTTATGCACATATTTGAGTACTGTCCACTTTCACATAGGGAAATAAACTGTTTTTTTTTGTTTTTGTTTTTTAAGTAAGGGTTAATGCTAAGTTTAAATGGACTAATAAAATAAAAATTTCTAGGTTATTTGCCTATTTGTTTTTATTTTTAATGTAGAATCTATATTAAAACTTGGAACAGGGGGATGTTACATTAATGTTCTTAAGTATGGGTTCACCAATCAAAATCTAATCATAAGGCCTTATATCTACTCAGAATAAAATTGAAAGGTCAACATTAATTGAAAACAAATCACATTAATTTCAAATCCGTGTGTGTACACAGAAGTAATTATAGTTTATTTTTATAAAATCTTTAATTTGTTTTAAAAGAGCTAGGGGATGTGGTTTAGTGAAAGAGTGCTTGCCTAGCAAGCATGAGGCCTTGGGATCGATTCTTAGCACTATTAAGAACAATAAATTAATAAAATAAACATAGAAATTTTCATGGAACCAAGCTTTTTTAGTTTAATAAGTATGAAAAATACGTACTATTTTGTCAGAGTAAACATTGGAAAGTTGGTACAGGCCTGTAATGTCAGTGGCTCAGGAAGCTGAGACAGGAGCATTAGTTGTTCAAGGATAGCCTCAGCAATTTAGCAAGGCCCTAAGCAACTTAGTGAGACCCTATCTATACAAACAAACAAGCAAAAAACTGAAAAGGGCTGGGCATGTGGGCATGTGGTTCAGTGGTAAAGTACCCTTGGGTTCAATCCCCAGTACCCCCCCCAAAAAAAAAATTCAAAAAGGAGAGAAAAATTATGGAAGATTAAGGGATCTGATTATCCCATTAATAAGCCAACTCATTACTGTTTCCTAAGGGAATTCAGTGTCAGCTCCTTCAGGAAGAGGAGGAGAGGGCAGGGGTACTGGCAGTAAAGGAGGGGATGCTGCTGCCATGGAGGGTAAGAAATAAAGCCACTTCATGTGGCAAAATAAACTCTTTGTAATTTATTTAGTATTCCCTGCCTCATCAGCGTCCTCCAACACATCTCCATCCCAAGTCACAATATCCCATTCCTTCCTAGTCAATGACTTCACCTAACTGTACCTTGTTGCAAGGTGGGGTGTTAAACTTGCATTGTTATTTAGCCAATCACACGAGGAGGGCATACAACTGGCTAATTTAAGCAATTTCAGTGCTGTGGCTATAGGAAATCGGATTCTTTTCCAGGGAACACTTAGAAGATTGGAAGTTATTATGCATAACTGGAGCTGGGAATTTGAATCTCTGAATTTGAATCTCTTTTTTTTTTCTTTTTTACTTTTTTCAGCAATGTTAGAAGCAGAAGTATTCTAAACTATTATATATAGAGTTGATAAATTCCTCTCATCTTATTAGTAGTGAAGTATGAGCATCAAAAGCATTTACTTTGCCTCTTTCAAGAGTTCACACAATGGACTCTCAGTGCTCTTTTTACTATCAGAAGGAGACTCCTTAGACATTTTATATTTAGTTAAATTAGAAAGCCAATGTCCTGGGGCAGTTTCTGTTCTAATCTGATCACATTGTCTGCCTCAGCTTAACAAGCATTCTTCCTCTCCCTATTCATCTACTTACTCTTCCAAGTCCCAGTTTTGTCCAAATTGAAGAGTCTTTATTTAGCTGGCAAGCTGGTGACTGCCCCTCACAGGACCCATGATTTCTCTGCAAGAAACAGCCCTGAGCCTGAACATTTTAGGATATTTATAGGCAAAACCCACAAAAACCACATCCAGGTTGATGTAGCTGCAAGCAAGCAGGTACAGAAGCTGAATTGGGCAGATAGGGAGACAATGCAATGGGTATGTTAGTATTTCCCATGGGACTTTCTGGGTTGGCTTGGCAGCAAGCAAGCAGAAAGGAAGTGGGTCAAAATAACCATAGTTGAGTACAAGTTGGAGAATGGGTATTAATGTCTAGACAATCTCTGACAAGATACACTGTCCAAGAAAAAATGGAAACCAAAGAGAACAATTTTAAATTGTATAAGAATTTTGTGTTGCCAAGTATACTATGCTAGGCAATTATTAGTGGGTATAGAGGTGGAACTTTGCCATGGGAGAAGCAATTCTTACATGATATGGAGTCTTAGGGTAAAATGGAGTCTGTTTGGTCATTGCTCATATAGCCTGGCCCATAATATCAATTCTAAAACCTACAAAACCAATTAAGAAAAATTGTCCTTATAACTGTTTCTCTAGCAACACTCCTGGTACAAAAATCAGTATTAGGGTTCTCCAGAGTAACAGAAAAAAAATAGAATATATATGAAATTATAAAAGGAGATTTAAAAGATTGGCTTACATGGTAAGAGGCTGAATAGTTCCATGATGGCTATGACCAGGAAAAAGAGCCAAAGAAACCGGTAACTGAACAGTCCAAGAATATAGAAAACTCAGAACAATAAGGGCTAATGATGTATCTCTAATCCAGGGCTGAAGGTTTGGAAACCCCCTAGAAAGTCCCTGGTACAAGTTCACATTCAATGTTTAAAAGAGTCTGGAGTCTTATGGCTGTAGGGACAGATGAGGCAAGACACCAAAGACAGCAGGAAGCAGATTTATTGTTTATTTATGGTTGCGACCAGGTTCAGATGGAAAAGCTTTCTATGTAAACAATTAATCCCTCTGAACTCCAAGTGTAAGCAGTTTCAGAACTTTATACCCAGTGTGTAGGAGGAGAGACTCAGAAGTTCACAATCTGCAGAAGTTCACATAAAAGCAGCTTTTTCTTTCACTGTTCTGGGCAAGTTAACCCTTCAAGGGAGTGCACCTGAGAAGGAAAAAGCTTCTTCTCCTCTTTCTTCCCTCCTGCTGTGAGCTGTTACCAAGGAGCCCAATTAGTAAGCTGTTACCAGGGAGCCTAATTAGTAACATCTTTTCTTATCTTCGAAATGTAAACATCTCTGTGAAGCTTGCCAAGGCCAGAGGCCTTCTTAAAGAATCTGTCTTCCTTATCACACTTTGCCTTTGCAAAGACAGTTCCTGCTTGAAAACTTTTACAAACTATTATATATAGTCACAATACTAGATAGTCCATAAATGTTGTGGAAAACTAGTTAAGGGGTGTTCAGCACTTGACCATTGGCCAAGTAAAGAGAGCAGCAGGAAATAGGAAGCCTAACTACATTGAACTCTTTTGTAGAGGTTCTTTTCTGATGGTCCTATGATGAATTATGGTGTGAATTTCTGGAAAAGCTTAATTAAGATTGTCTGTGAAGGAGGGGCGGGGGTGCCACTACATTATGTCCTCAGGTAATTTTAGAAAAAAAAATTCACACCAGATGAAGAAGAAGAAAAAAAAAAAAAAACAACCCACACCTGATGAAGAAAAATCAAGCATGAGTATGTAGAAAGAGCTTTTCCTTTCTTCTACTTTTTGTCCCATCTGTGCCCTTAGCCTATTTAGTGGTCCCACCAACATTCAGGGTGGAACTTTCTGACTCAGTTTCCTGACCCACAGACCAATTGTTCCTGGAAAATCCCTAACAGATACACCCAGAAGTATTGTTTACCAATTTTCTAGGTAACTTTCAATCCAGACAAAATCCATGGTTAACACCATTTGCCCATTGATAGACATTTAGGTTGATTCCAAATATTGGCTATTGTGAGTAATGCTTTAATGAGCATGAGCATACAGATATTTCTTTGAAATAATAATTTCATTTCATTTGGATAAATCCCCAGTGGTGGGGTTGCTGGATCATATGATAGTTCTATTTTTTCAATTTTCTGAGGAAACTTCATATTGTTTTCCATAATGGCCACAGTAATTTATTCTCACCAACAATGTGTGAGTGTTTCCTTTTCATATTTTCACCAGCACTTATTATTTTTCATCTCTTTGGACACAACTCTTCTTACTTATTGAAGACAGTGTCCTTTCGCCACATTATTTTCGTGACACTTTGATCCAAAATCAGTTATCCAGAATGCATGGACTTCTGGATTTTTGGGCTCTTCGTTCTGTTTCCTTGTTTTTTTGTGTCTGTTTTTATGGCAACAAATTGGAAAACCTAATTTATTCCAGTCCTCTCTTTCTTTCTTTCTCTTTTTCTTTTTGCTTCAACTAGCTGAAGGTTTGCTAGTTATATTTTTAAAAATATTTTACTAGATAAAATGTACTTAGGACACTTTAGCAACTGAAAGTCAGTCTGTGTAAGATGTATATGGGTTTCTTTTTAATCCAAATCAAAATCAGAATTTCAAAATAATCAATTGATAAAATATCAATTTCAAATTGTTCATAAGTATTTAAATACTATGCTGGGAGCATATACACATACAGACTATATACATAATTGAGTCAGTGTTGTCATTTCCAAGTGAGTATATCTCAAGTCAAAGAAATATCTTATATTCACTCTAGATATAATAAGATTGTATTATTGAATATTATCCCCCTATTTATTACTATTTCCCATCAAAAGACACATTTAGATTGTTTTGAACACTTGGAGTTTCCCAGTAATCATTATAAAAACTAACAAGTTATTTTTATTCTTTATGCTTCATAGTATTATATACTTATAAACTTATATTTAAGAGCATATATTATTATATATGATTATCTTATCTAGTAATATAATTAGAAGCCTAATCAAACATAAAAATGTTATACCCCTTAGATGCTATCTTTCCAGAATTTTAGAGATATGTATTTTCATGTGTAATTTTCCATTATTTCCAAGAGAGTTATGGGGATATTTGTGACTGTATTCAAAAAATATCAAGAGTCTTAAAATGTTTTTAAAATAATTTTATTTTAGCATTGGTTAATGAACTTGAGTCAAAAATTTAAAAATCTGTATTAACAAGTGTTAAACAGCATTATGTGGCATGACAGCCAGGAGTTATACAAAGGTATTCTTGACATTATTGCTGTATTATTAGGAAGAGCTAATACAATGACCATATAAATTGCAAACTATAACTTGAAAAAGCACAGAAACATTCATATACTTTCCTACTTTATCTCAGAGACTATTCAGCATTAGAAGAATTGTGAAGCCAGTATTTCAGACTATTATAGCATTTATCTCTTGAAAAAAATATTCATTGCTCTTATTTAATACTTTTGCAAACATAGAGGAACAGACTTTT